CTGCCTCATGGCATTTTCCTCTGATGAGCTCTGTACTAGAGCCTTTGAGTCTGGTCTCACTGTAAAACAACACTGGAGGTGGAACCTCAGATGGAAGGACAGGAAAGTGGTTCCCATTTCACAGGGTTTTCCAGCAGTATCTTGAACAGCCTCTCCAGACACAGTCATAAAGCCTCATGGCACATTTTATCCCAACTATTTAGAAACAAGTAATTCATAGAGAACTCCATAGACAACATTAGATATTATTTCTCTGAATTTGAACTTGGCTGTTCTGAGTCATCTCTCTGGCTTCATCAATATTTCAATACCTGCAAACCAAATCCACAACTTTCATAGAATCATAGAATCATAGAATTGTCCAGGCCAGAAGGGACGTCCAAAGGTCATCTAGTCCGACCTCTCCGCAGTCAGCAGGGACACCCCCAACTAGATCAGGTTGCCCAGGGCCAAGTTATATCACTCTTTGAGTTTCCAAGTGTTATTACTCTATGTGGTCACCCAGTAACAATAAGAGCTGTGCTTTGCTGTCCTTTGAAATCCCACTTTCATGGGTTTTTCCCCACTGGAGTTTTATAACTTCACCTGTGGTCCTCAGTTTTCTGGACATGGTACTGTTTTTTCCTGGGAATAGGGGTCCTCACTGTTCCTGCATTCCCTACTCTTTCTAAATGCAAACTCTGAATACTTCACCCTAGGGTTTGCATCACAGCTCAAAGGCAGTGTGAACTCTTCCCACTGAGACTTGGGGATAATTTTCCTCACAGGTAGCCAAGTAAGAAATTCTGAAATGTTGCATCCAGGAAACTGAGCCCATAAGGTGCAGCAAAACTCCGTCACTGCTGCTCCAGACAGACCTTGTTGTGATTGATATAAGGCACTAGCATTTATTAAGGTCCTGGTAAGAAAAGCACTCAGATTCCGTAAGGTGTTGATTTAAATACCATTTATTGGACCTATCACAAGACGGAAAAAGAGGATTGACAATCTTAGATCCTTTCAGATGCTGGTAACCCCAAAATGTATAACATCGGACAGACCTCCAATCAGGGCATGGCACAGAATGCAGATTCTATCTCTGGAGAGTTTTGCTATTGCTTTGGTCCTTTGAGCTCTTTCAGGATTTTCTTAGAAGAGTTCTAGTCATCATTTCTACTCTCTACTGTTTAACCTATTCATTAGCGACCTGGACAATGCAGGACAGTGCACCCGCAGCAGGTTTGCAGATGACTGGGAAGGGACTCCTTATCAGAGACTGTAGTGATAAGACAAGGGGGAACAGTTTTAAACTGAAAGAGGGGACATTTAGTCTCGATATTAGGAAGAAATTCTTTGCTGTGAGGGTGGTGAGACCCTGGCCCAGGTTGCCCAGAGAAGTTGTGGATGCCCCACCCCTGGAGGGGTTCAAGGCCAGGTTCAACAGGATTTTAAGCAACCTGGTCTAGTGGGAGGTGTCCTTGCCCAGGGCAGGGGGGTGGGACTGGATGATCTTTAAGGTCCTTTCTAACCCAAAACTTTCTATGTTTCTATGACACAAAACTGGCAGGGGAGGTACCATTGTGCTACCATTCAGAGGGACCTCCTCAGGCTGGAGGAATGAACAGACAAGAGTCATGCCGTTCAACAAAGGGAAATGTAAAATCCTGCACCTAGAATAATTCCATTGACCAGCACAGGCTGGGGCTGAAGTTTTGGAGAAAAGGACTTAAGGGTCCTGGTGGTTGACACCATGTTGGACATGAGCCAGAAATGCACTCCTGTAACAAAGGCAAATTGTATCCCACAAGCCATTAGGAAGAGCATTGGGAGGCAGTCAAGGGAGGTGAGTCTCTTCACAGGGAAAACCCATGTGGAGCAATATGTAACCATAATATGATTTTTTGTATTTCTGGCTAAATACAGTTATATTCCTTGGGTAACATTTCAGTGGAGATTGTTACAATGGAAAACAGCACGGATTTCTTCCATTTTACTTTCCGTCTTACCACCTCTATGTAATTGGTCTAGTTTCACCTAACTTCTGATTAATACCCTTCTTTAATAACAGAATCCAGACTCCTAGCTGCTTTCATGACAAATAGATTACCAAGCTAGACCTTCTAAATAACACAAGGACCAGAAGTTCTAGCAATTACATTGTTAGTACAATCTAGTCAAGCCTTCCAAAATGAACATACAACTTTGCAGTTTGTTGGGGTTTTTTGGAGTGGGGAAGATGTTCATTTGGCAAGAATGGTGTATCCTTCATTGCCATTGGTAAATTCTCCAGCTGTTAATTTTCCTATTGAGATTGCATGCTTTGTATCCAGCCCTGACTCACAGACAACATGGTGTACTTCTGCTCCCTCTAAAGGCCTTATGCTATGCCTTGACAGCCTTTGGAGATTTCAAACCAGTCATTCTGTACATTTTCATGGAGAACGCTATTTCCTTCATTTTTACTAACAAAGTAAGTAAAGGAACCACATCATCAAAAGGAAGCATTTCATATGATATTTAACTCTTGTTTATACATATTCTGTGCTTTTAGGTGGAGATGATGAAAAAGCATATTTTTAGCAAGAGACAGAACAAAAAAGAATGTATCAATCTGACATATTTTTTTTAATTTTTTTTTTTTTTTTTAGAGCAAAGGAATTTTATAATATACAACAGACTTACCAGACAGACTTGGCAATGTCTAGACTGAAGGGGAATCAAAAGCCTGAACTTTAAAAATAAATGTAAATTATAGAATCATAGAATCAAAAAATAGTTTGGGTTGGAAAGGACCTTCAAAGATAACCTTGTTCAACCACACTGCCTTGGGCAAGGACATCTTTCACTGGATCAGGTTGCTCAAAGCCCTTTCCAACCTGACCTTGAACCTTTCCAATGATGGGGTATCCACAACTTCTCTGAGCAACCTGTGTCTCACTAGTGTCTCACTACATTGGCCTCTTATCCTGATTTCTTACACCTGGGAATTGAGAGCTCTCGCACTCTATGGAAAGCCTCCTTAAAGATCTGCCAGCTCTGTTCTGATCCCTTGTCCGTGAGGGCAGTTTCCCAGGGGGTACTTTTGACTAAGTCCTTGAAGAGCTGGAAGTTTGCTTTCCTAATCACTAGTGTCTCACTACATTGGCCTCTTATCCTGATTTCTTACACCTGGGAATTGAGAGCTCTCGCACTCTATGGAAAGCCTCCTTAAAGATCTGCCAGCTCTGTTCTGATCCCTTGTCCGTGAGGGCAGTTTCCCAGGGGGTACTTTTGACTAAGTCCTTGAAGAGCTGGAAGTTTGCTTTCCTAAAATTCAGGGTCATGACTTTGCTCTTCCGCTGACCCATATCCCTCAGGACTGTGAACTCCACCAGTGCATGATCACTGCAGCCCAGGCTGCCTCTAATCTTAAAGTCACCAATTAACTCAATTGTGTTGGTGAACCAACAGGTCCAGTATTGCATCTCCTCTGCAGGGACTGTCTGTTGCCTGGCATAAGAAGTTGTCTTTGATGCACTCCAGGTTGCCTGCAGCTCACTGTGCTACTTTTCCAACAGATGTTGGGGTGATTGTAGTCCCCCAGCAGGACGGGAGCCTGCGAGCCTGGGCAGCAGTAGACCAAGGATCTGGAACAGGGGCACAGCACATCTCCCCTGCTAGGCCTTCCTACTAGAGGTGATGGGCATTACTGTATTGCAGGATCCACACAGAGCTGAGAGCTCAGTGCTCCTGCCCCAATCACTGTCCATCTTGCTGTCCCCAACCTTCCAGTTCTTGCTGCAAATTCAGGAACACATTGCCTTCTCCGGGATCATCTGGATGATGAATCCTTTCCCTGTGCAGTCCCTGATTCCCATTTTTTCCAGATTCCATGGGCCAGACCACTGTCAGTCAGCACAAGGTTTAATCACGGTGGAGGAAAGAGGAACCTTCCAGACCACCTGCTCTTATCAGATGTGCCACTTCGGTCCCCTGTTCTGGTACCAGTAGAAGGGATACCAAAACCCACATCTATTCTCATATCACACACCAGCTGGCCCCAAACAGAGCAGCCAGCTCACCACATGACTGAACGCCACAGGAAAATACAAACACAAGCAGCTGGAGGAGTTTGGGGTCTCTGATGCTGGCTTGTGCCTCTGTGCTGTGCAGAACACCCTGGTACAGAGAGCTTCCTTGGCTGGGCAAAAACCTGGGAAAGGGAGGGGGTGTTTCTGTGCAAGGCTGAGCTCTGAGGCCATCTCTCCCCTGGCAGTGCTATTTCACCTCCACAGCCAGGCATTTCCAGTCAATGAACCTCTTTCTGAAAGTGGTCACTATACAGAGGGTGGACAGAGTAGTGAGAAACATCTGCGGTGGAAATTTTGTCTCTACACATGCCAGGTCAGGACCACACTCACTGTAGGCTACACGGGGTTATTTTGACCTGGCTCACTGTGAGTTCCAAGTGCATAAAGAAAGTAATAAATGCTCCTCTGAGTCCAGAAATCCTATGACAAAAACATTTTTGGCATTTTTGGTCTCTGCAGTGGACTTTTTCCCACAACACAGAAAAGAAGGATTATTCCCAGATGGACCATTTATGCAGAAAAAGAGGGAAACTGGCATGTAGCTTCCATGGGAAGTGGACCCCCAACCTATAAAGTAGTAGAAATTCCATTACACGAGAACAACTGCCAGATGTGGATCAGGCTGCCTAGTGCACTAGAGTAATAGAGTGGCACTCCTTTCGCACTATCCCTCCAAGGAGTTTAAGGTTCTCCATGGGTGTCATTCAGAAGAAAATCCCTTGTGCAGCCAGAATATTATAGCCTGCGTGTTTTGGAAAAGGAAGAGAAGTTTAGAAAGCAGAGAATAATCCAATGCATAACTAATCACATTCAATGTATGCATGTGTTAACAGTCACGGCACAACCATTCCCAAACACCTCCTACCAGAACCACCCCTGAGCAACATCTCTCTCCCTGAGCATCTTTGTAGAATGTCTGCAGGGAAAAGGATGACACAAGACGCAAGGGCTGGGATGCATGAAATATTTAATGAGTCAAAAGAGGGAGAGAAGGTTCCTCTCAGTGGAAGACCCAGTGCAGGGAACACCAGGACCAGAAAGGAATCTGTGTCCCATGGCTGTGGTAAAGATCCCACCAATTGTTCGTCCGCCCATTCCACAGACAGAGCAGTGCCAGCAGGTCCTCCCCAGCTTGGCTTTGTGGGACTCACTGTCCAGGGGATCCCAAGAGAACAAGGACACAGGAGGGAAAGGAGAGAGTGGAAGAGGAGAAACGCAGGCATGGGCCGTGCTTTCTGAGAGCCCAGGCTGGACCCGTCCTTCTGCAAGGGGTGCTGGGGTTGCTCAGACCCCCAGAAAGCAACAAGCTAATGCTCCGTCCCTGATCTGGTACCATCCTGTGGGCCCTTGGGGAAGGTCCATCAGCTTTAGCAGGGGAGGCACCTGGTGCCGCAGAAGCGGCTGCCCAAGCCAGAGAGGCCAAAGCCCCCGGAGCTGATGGGCACTCCCTCAGAGCTGAGGATGCTGCCAACGGCAGCGGAGGTGGAGGATCCCACGGCGGTGCTCTGTGGGAAGGAGCTGAGGATGGGTCCGGGCAGGGTCACCACCACGGGGGAGGGCTGGATGACGACGGTGGAGTCCTGGCACTGCCTGACACAGGGCTCATTGCAGCTGTTGGCCAGCGGGGTCGGGCCGCAGGGCTGGCATGGCCGGCAGGGCAGGCAGGGGCTGTAGCAGGACATGTCTTGTGGCTGGAGGTGCACCTGGGAGAAAGAGCAAGGGAAGCAGATCCTGAGGGGTGGGTGAGGAGCAGCCTGTCATCCCAAAAGGAGGCAGAAAAGCCACAAGTTAGAGCTGAGAGCTGGAGGCATTGAAGGGAGGCCCACAGGTTTCTTTTTCCCCTCTGTCCAGATGAGCCCTGCCAAGTGCAACTGAGCCATGGGAGATCACTTCCTAGCCCATAGTTAAGGAAAGATCTAAGCAAAGCCTAATGTCTCTCCATGACACACCTTGTACCCTCTTCTTTCTCCCATGCTAAGCAGCCCCCTGATGCAGTGTAGGACAAAAAGGTAGTTTTGAGCTGAGAAAATCTGGAGGACAAGGCAAAGGAAGATAAACGTGAAAGGAGAAAGCGTAACAGACTCACCTTGTTTCAAAGGAGACGGAGGCAAGAAGAGCGGATGAGAGAGTGAGGAGAAGGGCCCACTTTTATACTACTACTGCACCACCCCAGGCCCACAGTCACTGCACAAGGGCAGTAATTTTCCAACAGCCTCACCTCCAGAGCAAAATATCCTACCTAATGGCGTAGCTTGTTTTTTGTTTCCCTCAAAGCTGCCATTACATTTCCTCATTTCTGGCACGCATCATCTGCCATAACAAGCTCCTTTCATGTGCCAGGATTAGAGGCCACAGGAAATCCCAGGAAGGGATAGACATGAGTAGAAGCTGTACCCCCAAGTGTAGGAGAGGTCTCTGTAAGTAGGGAACATGGGTGTGGGGAAATCTGGTGACGTTGTTTTCAAACCCCCATTGCAGAAAAATGTGCATATTCTCACATGAAAGCCATCCTCTCCTGGGTGCCCAAAGGCTCTTGTGCTTGACAATGTTACACAAACTTCTTGCTTAATCCTTTACCAGTTTATTTGGCAAAGTCATCCTCTCTTGTTGCACTCGTGTGGGATCTCTGTGCCTAAAACAGGCATGAAGAAAAAAATACTGTGATCACTGCCTAAAACAGGCATGAAGAAAAAAATACTTCTGAACACCATGACTCCTCAAAAAACCTCATTGGAGTCAGATCCATCCTCATTCCCACAGGGGTGGGAGTTTGGAGCTTCGGACAGCACCTCAACCCTCACACTCTCTTTGCAGCACCAGGCACTCTGGTTGCACGTTTTGGACCTGAACAAACAACACACAAAAGTCAAGGTGGATTTTCCAAAGCAATCTGAAGATTCTGCAAGCCCCCTGAGCTGTGGAGGCACTGACAAGGTCAGTCTGGAGGGCAATGGCCATTGGGGAGGCCTGGAGCCATGCATTCAGGTACAGACCAGGGTTGAGACCAGTTTTCTTGATTAGGGATGGAGCTGCCCTGGCCACAGGGCAATCCAGCCCTGCGTGGGACATGAACCTGCAGACAGCATGCACTCCTGCTTGATCTCACACTAAAAGACTGACACTCAGCTGATCCATAATTAGAGTGTGACTCGGCATGCATAGGGAGAATCTGTCTGAGGAAGCTTGCCTACTGAAGGCATTCCCTTGTTCCACTAGGCACGTCTCATCTGCCTCTATGTCTGCAGGGCAGGGAAGGGCATCACCCTTTTGATGTAGTCTCAGACCTAGTTTTGTGCTCTAGGACTGCCAGCCCTCACTCGACGGGCAGTTGGGGCAAGTTTCCTTGCCTCTCCCATGGTGCTGGGCTGTGGTCATGCTGCAGGAGCCCTTTGGGGCTTGGGTGGGGCGGTGTGCTGAAGCCTTAATGCCAGGAGAAGACAGATCACCTGAGACCCAAGGAAGAGTCCCAGATGGTGGGGAGATATTTTCTGCAAGCCTTCCTTTCCCTCCACAGAGCATTCAGGAGAGCTCCTCACCACAGCCTGCTCTCTTTGGTCAGGAAGACGAAGCCTGTGTCCATTCCCTTCCACCCTCCAAGTCTCTTCCCAAGGCTGACCCTGCCTCTGCCAGCACATCTATCTAGAGAAAATTCAAGGGCTCTACGATCATAGAGCAGTTCAGTCAGCAGTTCATACTCATGCAAGTTCATACTCTTCCTTTCCTGGTGCTGAACTTGCCTTTTCTCCCTCTGGGTGCCATGACGCTCCTGTAACCCAGTCCTCCCACTGGTTCTGGACTTGCTTTGTTGCAACACTGCCCAAAAGCACATCTAGTGTCTTCTACAGGTCAACTTCTCTTAGGCAATCCTTGATTGAAGCCCACCCATTGCTGGGTCCATCTGTTGCTCTTCCTGCCCCTGTGAAGGCTCAACACAACTTGAGCTTTGGCTTCCTATCAGCACCCCAACATGCTCAGGAAATATTTCAAAATTCCTCCTGTGCAGCTAATTGCTTCTTCCACCGCCAGGATGCTGCTTTTTGATGCCAGTACTCCACCTTGAGTAACCCACTTAGTCTACTTAGACGTCTGATTATCTCCATGAACATTGGCCTGGACCCTTCTTGAACTCAAACAATGAGGTGCCTGAAGTGCTGCCAGCATTTCTGAGCTCCCAGCTGACTCCATGCCAATGTTCCCACCAGCTGCCTGAAAAGGCTGAAGTCAGCATACCTACAAGTCCAAGGGCTGTATTCTGGTACTCACTTTCCTTCCAGTCTTCAGGTTTTGAACTCTCTGTTTCTCAGGTGTGACAATCAAGGCTACCTTTGACTCCAAAGTTCCAAACAGGTGCAGAACCCACCTTTTCCCATGAAAAAAATCAGAAGATCGTATAGTCCAATCCCACATCTCAAAGTGGTCATTTGGAGGAGGCTCAGGGACACGTCCTTTCAAGCTTCAAACACCTACGTGGATGGCGGATTCATAACCTGCCACAGCAAATCCAGCTGATGCTTGCCCACTCTCACACCAACAGTGTCTTTCCTTAGGTTTTTTCATGCAATTTGCCAGAGGGGAGTACCAGAGGGGTGTGTTGGGGCTCAGG